AAATTTAACTGACATTATATATAAGATGTTTTGTATTCTTAATATCTTATTGTTGCTACTGTTTATTATCACTGCTTCTTTTCATCTTCTCTTTAATCGAGACTCTATTGGAAGCAATATTTTTGTCTTTCAAAGGTAAGGGTAAGATCTGCATATACATTATCCTTCTCAGACTCTTTTTGTGAGAATTCACTGAATTTGTTGTTGTCGTAGATAAGTTGAAATTTAATATTATTAGATAAGGAAGATGAGTTAATTAGACGTGCGGCTAAGGCAAGAATTTTATGGATGAGTGTAGGGACTAGAGAGGGGACTCACTCCCCACCTAAATGTGTAAAAGTCCATATATTATATATCCCAGCTAGCAAGCAAGCTATAAGTAACGTAATAATAATTGCAATTTCAACTTGAAGTGGCAGGAAGAGATTTATGCCCTCTAGCTACTATATTACTTATAACTAATCTGTCATTCTGCTTGTTTGTTTGCTTGTCAACTTCCTCTCTAGTTGTTTCTTAGAATCATTCATTAGCTCCTTTGTCCCCATTTTTTATTTTCGCAGTAAGAATTAGTATTTGGTACTAGCCTTGTATTTGCGGGTTAAGTCAAATCCAATAGCTTTAGTTAAAACATTATATTTGTTTTATTAAATCTATTGAATTATACACATATTGCTAATTATGGACGGGTAAAATCGGGGGCAATGTCTACCCCAATTCCCTGATGAGAGAACAAAGGGAGAGCAAGGATCCGCGAGATTGTAATCGAGATCAGAGACCCTTCGTATCGAGGCCCAAGAAGAGTGAATGATATACCCGACATGGTAAAGCGATGCGCCCCAGGCTGAGTATAAGTTCTAGACCTCGGGAGACACGGCGAACAGTTGTGCGTGACGGATAGAGGACCGCGATACTCGCCCTCAACCGGATATCACGGCGCGAATCTCGCTTGATATCGATTATGGATCAACAATTACCGGGAAAAGAAGATTTTTGTCTTTTTTAGACTTATACTAGGACTAAAACTCTCCTACTATATAAAGGAAAAGTTTTTCTTTAGTGTGACATATTATAACATGCAATTCAAAGCAATAAAGTTTTACTTTTGTCTTCTAGCTACCGTTAAAGGCATTACTCACGTGTTCTGTTCTTTATTCGCGACTAGCCTTGAACCGAGGTTCCAATCGAGGACGAACTCATTATTCAATCTAAGATCAGTCCTGGTCTTAACATTGTGATTGGTTTGATCGATTATTTCATCTTTAATTCATTTATTTGTTATTCTTAATTATTCGTGTTGAATTAAATCACATATTCTTTAAATCGCGTACAAGTTTAATTGTTACATAATTTTGGGGTAAACACTAATATAGAACTTCGTAGCTTAAAAAGACTAGAATCTGAACCCATAAGCTTCAAATATTGACTCTGGCTATGACTGCTATTGTAGTTACTGCCGGCAATATTCGTGATATGAGATTTATGACTTCTCAAGTTTGAAAATTGTGAGGAACAAATGCGGATCGAGAAGTTAAATTTTATGAGTTTAAAGTTCAGAATACTACCACAACCTTTTTTACTTACTGAATTCGAAATCTACTATTTATGCTTATTTATTAGTAAATTTTTAACATATAGTATATATATCACATTGGAATAACAGCTACCGAATTCATCCTATCTCGTAAGTTGTAAGTGGTACACTACATCAGCCCTAGGGGTGTTCAAACCGAACCGGAAAATCATACCAAACCGAAAAATCAAATCAAACCGATTAAAAATCCCGACTAGGTTTGGTATTGAGTAAAAAAAATCGAACCAAACCGACATATAAATATTTAATTTTTTTATATATATATATATATATATATATATATATATATTTTTTTTTAAGACTTTATATTGAATTTTGTTTAAAAAATGTAGAAATATTTGGGATTCTATCATGTGTTAACCTTGAAAGCGTACATTAACGAAAAATTATTGTTAGACGACTAAGAAAATAACTATCATGTGTTACTAAAAAATTTTCCCATTAGAATATTTTAATAGATCATATGTTTGTCAATTTTTTCAATATTTACTAAACATATATTCACTTATCAAAACTATATCTATAACTTTAATAAAGTAAGATTAGAATAATATTCATGTAACAACAAAACTCGAAAACCCGAAAACCCCGATAAAATCGAACCAATCCAAACCGATACAGATGGTTTAGTTTAATTTTGATAAAAATTGAACTAAACCGGTCCATATAAACTCCTAATCAGCCCCGGTGAGGAACCGTATAAAATTTAGAGGTTAGACGTTCCATAGGTTTTTTACCAAATGGTTGCCGTTACAAATGGTAGTCAATTTAAACGTTCAAAAGGAAAATTTTAAACGTTAGAAATTAATGATAAGAAGTAAAGATGGCATTCGAATTTAATTGGTAGATAACAAAATATCTAGACAATTTTACAATCAATACATGGAATCTTTCAAAATGCCTCATTAGTTATTCACATTAAAATTTTGAGTTATACTGCTGGTAAAAAGGTGTTTAGCTTTCCATTGCCTTCAAATCGCTTTGAGGAATAAGATCGGATTCGAAAAATAAATTAATTTCTAGGATACACTGTCCTTCAAAATATGCTTAGTATTTTTAGAGCGTAGCGTTCTGCTTTCATTTTGACCATTGGAACGGGAACCCACTCCTAATTTTTTGAGCGTAGCGTTCTGTTTCTAAGTATTTACTTTTTGGTACATTGGGGCCCCTGAAATGGCTAAGTGTAACTTCTTAACCTACATCTAATTGTCTTTGGTAAGGTAATATTTTCTCTTGATTTTTTTAAAAATTTTACACATTATTCGTCTTGAGCAAATAATGGCACTTTTTGTGTATAATAGCAAATGAGCTTAGTCATATTATTTAATTACTTTAATCAGCTAATCCAAACGAGCTCTAATTCGATCTACTCTGAACAAATAGCATCCACATTACCCTTCTTTCATTTCCTCACTATTCTAGGAAATTTAAGTTTCTCCTTTATAAGGAAGTGGATATTCTCTGGAATTTGAATGTTTTGGGTGAGAAACTCAAAGTTTAAACTTGCACGTTCCCTTTCAACCTTCCCAAATCAGTGGACCCCACACAAAATTAAAAAAAGAAAAAGAAAAAAAAGAAAGAAACTCCAATTTCAACAAAAATTAAAGGACCGGGGTGTGGGAGTGTGGAGAAGGGGAATGCACAATTTATGATTGTATGAGTTAATAAAAAGATGTACTCCTTCTTAATAGTGTTTTTAAAAGGCGTTTTCGGAGCGATGCGCACCAAAAACGCCCCGAGGCGATGATGTGGGGCGAAAATCACAAGAGGCATACGCCCAGCAATTCGGGGCGTACGCCCGATCATTTGAGGCACGTTTTTTTAGTGAGGCGTAAACCCCATAAACTTTTTCAAATTAAAACAAAATTTGTTGAATAAGTCCTTCGTATAATCCCCAAATTCTCAAAAGTCAGCTCGGTAATTATTCAAAAAGTTTAAAAAGGAACTTAAATGTATTAAATTTAAAAGTCAACACCTTTTTTATTGATTGAAGTACTAATTCATGGTCATTTTTTTGTTCCTCCATATAGAAAACTTTATTCTTTTAGAATCAAGTTACTTGTGCTTGTAAGTAGCGTATAATATATTGTTTCGACTAGTTTTTTGTAGGGATAGAGCGCGCGCGTGCGCGCACACACACACACACACACACACACATATATATATATATATATATATATATATATATATATATATATTACATATTTATAATTTTTTTCAATTTTTATGCAATCTCACCTGTTTATTAATATTTACTGTCATTATATTATTTTATAAAATATTAAAAATTAAATACCTATGGATCTTACGCCCCGTGCCTCGAGGCTTACGCCTCGCTAAGACATATGTAAAACGCCTCGCCTTACGCCCACGCCTTTTAAAGCACTGCTTATGACCATATTGCACAATACTATTGCAAATTGAGAAGTCAAATAATTTATTATGTGACCACAAAATTTCTAACTACTTTTAGCTTAAAGAATTTGTGTTCATTGTACTATTTATAAAATTATTGAACAACAATTTTATTTTAAGAAAAATTAAATAACATTCAAATTCACGCAAAAAAAAATCGAATTTCGTCATTATAATAGTTAAGCAAATCTCGTAGAGAACAACAACAACAACAACAACAACAACAACAACAACAACAACAACAACAACAACAACAAATCAATATAATTTCACTAGTGGGGTCTGGGGATAGTAGTGTGTACGCAGACCTTACCCCTACCATGAGGTAGGGAGGCTGTTTCCAATAGACCCTCGGCATCCTTCCCTCCAAGAACTCCCCACCATGTTCTTGGGGTGACTCGAACTCACAACCTCTTGGTTGGAAGTGGAGGTTGATTACCATCAGAGCAACTCCTCTTGTCAACTTTTTGTAATTAAGAAAAAAATCTTTAATTTTGTAAACTTTTTTGTGTGAAGGGGAGTCTTGGAGCAACGGTAAAGTTATCTCTGAGTGACCTATAGGCAGAGGCGAATCCAGGATTTAAAGTTTATGAGTTCCTACCGTAATTTCAAATTAATATGCAATAATAACTAGGTTCACGGTTAGATATTTATAAATATTTAGAGAATTTCTCAATATAAATAAAGGGTCTACGCAAGAGTTACAGGATTCCTAGGAACCCATATTCAATGCTCTAGGTTCGCTCCTGCCTATAGGTCACGTGGAAGCAACCATTAATGATTGCAGTATGGTAAATTGTCTATATCACATCCGTGCGATGATTTGCCCATTTGATTTTTTATTTATTATTATTTTTTTTTGGTCAATTCCATTTTGTAAAAGAAAGTGATCAGCTTTATACAATAGACACAGGAAAGAACAGCGACCCTCCCCTGGACCCTTGTCCCATTTCCTATCTTTATGCTGAAAAAGTAGTGAGAGAAGTAGATATTACTATATGGATTCACAGGTCTTTCTTTGGTTCTGAAAAAAGTTACTCCTAGTACCACAGCTGCTAAAGCATAGACCTTTTTTCTTTCCATTTTTTTGACTCAGTGAGAATCAACAGGGGTTTTCTTGTAATTTCCACCTTGTAAATCAAGCTGCAAAACAATACAGAGAGAGAGAGAGAGAGAGTGAGTGAGTGAGTGTGTGTGTGTGTGTGTGTGAGAGAGAGAGAGAGATACATAGACAAAGTGGTAGCATTACTAATGTAATGGTGTGGCCACTCTGGAGACAGAAGAACACCAACCCCAAATGATTTTCTCTGTAAATTCTTACTCACTGCTTCTAAGTGTACTTCTACTACTGGAATTTTACTCTATCTTGATATAGACTCTCACAACTTCTTTGTTTCTTCTATCTCTCTCTCCTCATTCTTTTTCTCTCTCTAAGCCCAAGACCATGTCAGCACTATAGCAGCAAAACTTCCCATTTCTTGATAAAGAACCATTCTTTTTTCATAAATTGTGAAATCGGAACTTGTTTCTTGTTTGCTGCAAAAAAATCTGCCTCCACCGACACAATGGCTACTAAATCAAAGTAAGTGCCACTGGATCTGATTTGGGTATTTTCCTGTTTTTCAATTGATCCAATTTTTTGGGTTGTATCTGCATTTTGTTACTCGTTTTATGGTGCTTTGTAGAAAAACATTCTCTTTTTTTAATGCCTTTATTCTTGATTTTGTGCATTTTGTACTTGGTTAGTGCTTAGATTTGCTTGCTTGTGGTGTTGTTTTTTTATGGATCATAATTCTTTGAGGATTCTTATGTACTTTTGACTTGATCTCTGGATCTAAATTTGTGCTCCAATTTGATGCCCTAATTTAAAGGTGTGATCTTTTTTTTGTGGTTCTTTTGATGCTATCTCGTTTACTGCAACTGTATGCTAAATGCTGTTAGAAAAACTAAAAAAGAAGAAGCCTTTTGCTGTAGTTGGACACAAAGTTTCTACCTTTGGCTTGGATCCGTGGAATTGTGTTTGCATTTTCTCCAACAGGATACTGAGTTTGTGCGTAGTGTAATGTTGCATTTTAGAAGTTGCCTAATTGTTGAATATTTGAACTTTATATCAGATCCTCTCTATCGGACAAGTCAACACCAGCAACTCCTCGGGACCGGGTGAGTAAAGTAAGCAGGGGACTATCAAAATCTGATGCGGATTCACCCTCGCCTTTTCAAAGTTCACGCCCGCCAGTTGAGAAGTCTCCGAGATCTGTAACTTCCAAACCCTCTGTGGAACGGCGGTCCCCTAAGATCAGTACCCCGCCTGATGTAAGTTTCGCAAAATACATTGACTACATTTCCTTGGTTTGCCAGCATTTTTTTCGGGTGGGTGTTGGTGTTTGATTCTACAAATGGAGAAGGCGAGGAGTTCAATGCTAAAATGCAACTTAAATTGCAATGTCCTGCTGTTCTATGTGTCTAATAAGGTGAAATTTGAGTTCTGATTCACCAAGAAAAAAAAGGGCATCCCAGTGCACAAGGCATCTTGCGTTCACGCAGGGTCGGGAAAGGGCCGCACCCTAAGGGGTGTGATGTAGGGATGAGTTCTGATTAACCATCCGGTGAATTATATGCACTAGCAGTTGTGGTGATGAGTCAATTGTATAGACTCTCTAACATTAATGCTAGATGGAAGTTATTTGTTTTTTTGTCTCAAAATCAGGCTGTTTGTGAAACTTATAAATTCTGATCTGGATTATTGCATGATTTAATTGTTGTCAGAAAAAGCCAATGCGGATCCTGAAGCCATCGGAGCTGCAAGCTGAATTGAATGTTGCTCAAGAAGACCTTAAGAAGGCCAAGGAGAAATTGGCTTTGGTTGAAAAGGAGAAGGAGAAAGCTCTTGAAGAAGTGAAGGAATCTCAGAAAATGGCTGAAGAAGCCAATGAGAAGCTGAGAGAAGCTATGGTAGCTCAAAAGCGAGCTGAAGAAAACTCTGAAATTGAAAAGTTTCGTGCTGTCGAGATGGAACAAGCGGGCATTGAAGCAGCTCAGAAGAAAGAAGATGAATGGCAGAAGGAGCTTGATGTCGTGAAGAACCAACATGCTTTGGATGTTGCTGCTCTCCTATCCGCCACCGAGGAACTTCAACGTGTAAAGCAAGAATTAACCATGACTTCTGATGCGAAAAATCAGGCACTCAGCCATGCCGATGATGCCACAAAAATTGCTGAAATTCAGGCAGAGAAGGTGGAAATTCTCTCAGCCGAGTTAGTGAGAGTGAAATCTTTGCTTGAATCCAGGAATGAAAATGAGTCTTGTGAGAACAATAAGTTAGTGGAAGATTTGAACCTTGAGATAGCGGCACTGAGAGAAGAAGGTAGTGAGAAGAATAAGTTATTGGAAAACCTGAAACTTGAGATAGAGGCACTGAGAACAGAAGATGGTGAGAAATGTAAGTTGTTGGAAAATCTGAAACTTGAGACGGAGGCTCTGAGAAAAGAAGATGGTGAGAAGAATAAGTTGTTGGAAAATGTGGAACTTGAGAAAGAGGCACTTAGAAAAGAAGATGAGGAGAAGAATATTTTGTTAGAAAATCTGAAACTTGCGACTGAGGCGTTGAGAAAAGATGACGGTGAGAAGAACAAGTTGTTGGAAAATCTGAAACTTGAGATTGAGGGATTGAGAAAAGAAGATAGTGAGAAGAATAAGTTGTTGGAAGACCTGAAACTCGAGATGGAAGCACTGACTGAAGAACTCGAGGAGGCAAAAAGTTATGAAGAGAAATTGGTGGAGAGAGAAGCTCTCCTGGAGCAACTTACTGTCGACCTGGAGGCTGCTAGGATGGCTGAATCTTACGCACATAATCTAATGGAGGAGTGGCAGCAGAAGGTTGAGGAATTAGAGGCTCAGACTCAGGAAGCCCGTCATTTGGAGAGATCTGCGTCTGAATCACTGGAGTCAGTCATGAAACATCTCGAAGGAAGTAACGATTTGTTACATGATGCAGAATCTGAGATTGCTTCTCTCAAGGAGAAGGTGGGCCTACTCGAAATGTCAACGACAAGACAGAAAGGGGATCTTGAGGAGTCAGAACGTCGTGCTCAGATTGCTAGGGAAGAAGCTTCTGAAATGGCAAAGAAGGTCGAGTCTCTTATTGCTGAGCTTGAAACTGTGAAGGAGGAGAAAACTCAGGCTATCGAGCACGAGAAACTAGCAGCAGAAAGTGTTCAGTCCCTGTTGGAAGAGAAAAACAAACTTATAAATGAGTTGGAAAATTCCAGGGAGGAGGAAGAGAAAAGTAAGAAGGCGATGGAAAGTTTGGCATCAGCACTGCATGAAGTTTCTTCAGAAGCAAGAGAAGCCAAAGAGAGGTTGTTGTCTAGCCAAGCTGAACATGAACATTACGAAACACAAATAGAAGATTTGAAGTTAGTACTGAAAGCAACCAATGAAAAGTACGAAAGCCTGCTTGGTGAAGCAAAAGAGAAAATTGATGATCTCACTACTTCAGTCGAACAATCTAAGAATGAGCACCAAATTTCGAAGGCTGAGTGGGAGGACAAGGAGCTTCATCTGATGAATTGTGTAAAGAAAACTGAAGAAGAAAACTCTTCAATGAAAAAAGAAATAAACCGGTTAGTAAATCTGCTAAAAGAGGCTGAGCAAGAAGCTTCTTTCAAAGAGGAAGCAGCTCAGTTGAAGAATTCCCTAAACGAAGCTGAATCGGAGGTGACCTATCTGAAAGAGGTTCTTGGTGAAGCAAAGGGCGAGAGCATGAAGTTGAAGGAGTCACTGTTGGACAAGGAAAATGAAGTGCAGAATATTCTTCAGGAGAATGAGGAGCTTCGTAGTAGAGAAGCTAAATCTTTAATGAAAGTTGAAGAGTTGTCCAAGTCCCTCAAAGAAGCTTTGACCAAAAAGGAATCTGAAGAAAATGGAGAGCTTTCTGAAAGTGAAAAAGACTATGATATGCTTCCAAAGGTGGTGGAATTCTCTGAACAAAATGGAGGAGGAATACTGGAGAAGCCTAAGATTGAAGTTATGCCTCATCAATCTGAGCAATCCACTGAAGAAAAATTTGAAGGAGTCAACATCACCTCGCGTGATGAAGCTGTTGAGACCTTAGCTGAAGTTGAGAAGCCAAATGGAGAACTGACTGGAAATGAGCACAAAGAAAAGGAAGATGAAGATTCAGCAGAAGGCGAGTTTAAAATGTGGGAGAGCTGCAAGATTGGCGACAAAGACTTCTCTCCAGAGAGAGAGACAGTACAAGAAGAGGAATCAGAGTCGAAGAAAGATGTTGGAGAGAGCTTCGACCAGGTAAATGGATTACCTTCAGCGGAAAATCCTGAGAATGGTGGCACATCTCCTACAAAGCAGCAAAGTCAGAAGAAGAAAAAACCTTTGCTTCATAAATTTGGAAGCCTACTGAAGAAGAAGGGCACCAGCAGCCAGAAGTAATAGACCGGTTGTCACCTATCTTGTGCCTGACGTGTAGAGAGGTATACTAAATTCAAGAGTAAATGTTGGACTTAATTGTGTTTGCTCAAAATCTTTGCTTTTCTTTTCTTTTCTTTTTTTTGGTTATTTGTTTTCTATCTCAAATAGGTGTTTACATAAGAAAAAGATTGTATCATCAGTAGTGTTCCATTCTTATTAGTTCTGGGGTTCAGTTTCTCAATGTGGTTTTATCATGTTGGGTGATATCCTTTATTTTTGTATTTTATTCTTTTTAGCTTTATTCTCTTTATATACTTCTAGTATCAAATTTGCATCTGAGAAGAGAGATGTGTTTTTTTTTTCAAATGTACTTTGATATGGTCTAGGATTGGTCTTGGTTCCATCGTCTATATCCTAGTTAAACTTATGGCGTTAAATTCATTGCTGTTCTTGAAAAAATTGTTACTCAAGCAGCCAAGTTGCTCGCTTCGGGGGAGATCCGCCTTATGGCCAATTACAACTCTTCTTTTAATTATATAGCCCTTTTCCCATAACAAAACACAGCAACATTCATAATTAGCGGTTCAATGTGCATAGGTTCATAAGATTAGGAAAGTATAATGCAGCTGAAACTGTCCAAAAATAATCTGATTCAAAATTTGGTATCTAAATGATTAAATTAATATGAAGTCAAAAAATAACCTATTTGCCCCAGGAGGATATGATATCTTAAAACTTCATCACGTAAAAGATAAATTAGGTCTATGCGTATTCCTATTAAACTTAATTAGAAAAAAAATATTGACAATAAAGTTTTACCCTTGTATAATGAAGTTTTTTTATAAACTTAGAATATGGCTGGTCAGTTGCCAAAATACAATTTTTAAGTGGTTAACAATCAGTCATATAACCAATAGCCCACGAGCATATTATTTGACAATGAAATTTTGTTAGCATGTTAATACGTCTCAATGTAAAATTAGCTAAAATAGAACATAATAGAAACAAATGGTTCATATATACCAATAAGAGGCTTCTTGGTTTAGTATAAAGGACTTATACGTCAGTATATAAGTAAATTTGAGATTTAAATTGAAGGATTATAATTCCAAAGATGTCAAGTTATTTTAAGAGATTATACGGTGTCAATTTGGAATGAACTTAATAAATGATCTTGACTTTGCGGTTAAGAAAAAAAAAAAAAAAAAACTAGCGCGTAAATTTATCGGAGCTCCAAATAAAATCCTAAACTGCCAAACCAAGTAACTACTGAACCGCGTGGCAGGCAAAGGATCTTCTCTATTTTCCTTTCTACTCAGCAAAAACTTTCCTCTTTTCTCGCCCAGAAAAATTATTCTAATCGGAATCGGTGGCAGTGACAGTGAGAAGAAGGCATGTTGGTGGAGCTGATCTGTTTCCTTATCGTTGTCATAGTACTTAAGTACTTCTTTTACTATGACGATGTTATGGACATTGGAACCTCCGATTTCAATGCTCTCTTTACAGTCGCCGAAAGGTATTACGGTCTTCATCTTTTGTACTGTCGTGATTTCATTTGTGTTTTCTAGCTCCGATCTTCATTACATTGATTGTGATCTTTCTTTCCTTTTGTGTCAAAACTAGACTTGAGAAGCTTTATGGCGGTAAGGCTCATGTTGGGCTTCAAATTCCTGACCAGGATTCTGGTTCTCGACAGAGTATTGATTTAATTCTCGTCACTAAACGGTGCGTCTCTTTAACCCACATCACTTTGTGGTACCGCAACTATATGTATGCTTAATCGAACAAGGTGTATCTGTGCAATTTATCTGATCCATTGGCTGATCAAACAAAAATGAATGACTCGTTCGTTACAAAAACTTTACCTATTTCCGTGGTTGTTGGCGTAATTTTGGTTTTCACGTAGGAGTAGGAACTTTTAGCATTCTCAAACAATAATAAAGGCTAAGGTGGAATGCACCACAGGTGCTTTACGATTTGCTGTCCGCCTCATACTACCCGG